GGGGGTTAGCCTGGGACGAGCTGCCGCTGCCCAGTGCTCCCCAGGTCGCGAGGTCCGTTAGGGTTCAGGAGATGCACGCCTGGCCTGCGGGAGAGCAAGAGGGGAGAGGGAATGGCGGGGCTGCTCCAGAGGAAGTGCCCGCCCTGGTCCTTTGTCTCGAGCTCCATCTCTCCTGCAGGCAGATCTTAGGGGAGGTCTCAGCAGAATACTCATCCTCTTCCAGCTGTGCCCTTTCAGGGTCGAGGTCATCACTGATGGGTCAGCGCCAGGGCAGGGCTGTTGGTCATTGCAGCTGATCTTGGCTTTGCCCACTGGGTTTTGCTGCTTTTCTGGGCCTGGAGCTGAAATACAGCTGAGGCCTTGATGTGATCACTAGGGAAGTGACCTGTACCTGCTGTCAAATGCTGGGCCAGTCTATCCCGCCGTCTGTCTCAGTTTCCCTGTTCTGCCTGTCCTGGCTCCCTGGCCTGTCTCATTGGGACGTCTCGGCCCTGGCAATCAGGTGAGGCCAATCCGCTATCACAAACCTCCTGCATATCTTTTTTAAAAACAGCCCCCTGGCGTGTTGCTAACCAGTTTCTAGATGGCCTGAGTCAGTCTCGCCCGTGGTTGGGAGGTGGTGGCCGGAGGACCCAAGTTTGAGAGCCACGTTCCTGGGAGTTTACCGCGTCTTGAGGCTGACTTCCAAGGGTGCTTTCAGCAAATTTGCACATCAGGCTGGTCTAAGCTAGTCCTGGAACCCCCCTGCCCCCCCTCCCTCCCTCGTACCCCCTGGCTCTCAGCAGCTGCCCGCCAACTTTGGATGCTCTCGGAAAACCATCCTCGAAGGCAGTAAAGCTCCTCAAAATGTGGCTCCCACCCTGGCTGAGCAGCTCGGTTGGTTAGAGCAGCATCCTGTTCGCCAAGGCTGTGGGTTTGATCCCCGGCCAAGGCACATACAAGAATCAACCGATGAATGCATAAGGTAGTGGAACGACAATTGCTCTCCCTCTCTCTCTCTCTCAAATCAATGAATAAAAAAGAAAAAAATGCCATGTGGTTGCAGAGCAGCAGCAGCCCCTGGGAACTTGTTCCAAATGCCACTGGGTGGGCCTCCGGGACTCAGTGAAAGGGAACTCCACTCCCGGTTCTGCAGTTGGGCAGCCAGGGGGCCTTCCTCCCACGGGTGGGTCAGGGTCCTGCATCCGGGCGGCTGTGAGGGGTGAGAGGTGGGCTCCTCGGCCCCCTCCTGAGCGGGCAGGTACTGAGCATCATCAGGTCGCTTACTCTCCCCCCTAACGTGCCTAAACCACATGCTGATTCCTCCCTGCAGGCTTGGTGTTTCAGCCACTGCCAGGCGCCCTGCTGGGTGCTGGGGGCACAGGGATGAGACTGCCTTCCCCGAGATAAGTGTTGACCGCAAATGTGGTAGGAGCTATGACAGCAAGCATCGTGGGCGGTGGGGGGAGTGCTATTTGTGTTTTCTTGGGTGATACAGAGGACATGTCTGGGTGTCTATCTTTCACTCTGTCACCCTTGTTCTGGGAAGAGGGCCTTGATCCTCACCTCACGCCACCCAGGTCCACTCTCCCTCCCCAGGTTGTGGGGGAGGCACATGACGGGGCAGAGCCCTCATCTCCTCCCACAACAGTGGTCTCAAGCGATGGGCCCTGTGCCGCCAAAGGAGACTCAGTCCCGGGCCTTTTTCTAAAAAAACCACTGGAGAGAGAAAGAAAGGAAAACTGCTTTGGTCACTGCTGACGTTCCTGGTGTGGGGTTTCCAGGGGCTGCCCCGAGGGAGGGGCTTTCCTGAGAGCCAAGCCCACCCCGGGGAGGGAGCCGAGGGAGGAGCAGACCTGGTCACAGTGGACAGCCAGATGCGGCCACGCCTGACGCATTGACTCCCGGACTTGTTAGTGTGGTGAGCGAATACTTTCCCTTTTCGGCTGGAACTCATGTCATCCCTGGAAGCTCGAGGGCTGTGATATTAAGTGCAGAGAACATGGGTCCAGCTCTGGGCTCTGCCCCGTTCAGGTGGGGCATTGCCTCTCCTGGTTGAGAGGATTCAGCAAGAGGAAAGCATCTTCGTGTCAATTCCATGGTGCATATACGCCACAATTTGTTTTTTAATATATTTTTATTGATTTCAGAGAGGAAGGGAGAGGGAGAGAGAGATAGAAACATCAATGGTGAGAGAGAATCATGGATCGGCTGCCTCCTGCACACCCCACCCTGGCGATCGAGCCTGCAATCCGGGCATGTGCCCTGACTGGGAATCAAACCGTGACCTCCTGGTTCATAGGTCCATGCTCAACCACTGAGCCATGCCAGCTGGGCAATTTGTTTATATTTGTATTAGGATTGTATTTTATTGAAAAAAAGGAAAAATGTCTGCTGGACACTGTGCTTCTTTGCAGGATGGGGAGGGAGGGAGACACCGTACCATCTGGACTGTCAGAATGGAGATGAGAAGAACCGACACCCCCCTGTACTGGGGACTCGGCCACACGTGCCTGAAACACAAAATATGGTCACAGTTAAGCAAAGGCAAAAAGCTTGTTCCTCGCTGCAGCCCAGCCACCCTCACTGAGCACCTACCATGGGCTCTGACTAGACCCATGATGGTCCTAGATTCAGCCCAGGGGCTGGTGTCTGACAAGGCCAGGCTGCTGGGCGCTGACCAGTTCGTTAGGAGCTGGCAGTGTCTCAGGCTCACCAAGCTCTATCCTCCCCCAACCCCTGGGCCTTTGCACCTGCGGGTCCCCCGGAGGAGAACAGCCCCCTCTGACAGGGGGACCTCCAGGTCTCCGCTCACATTTCGCTTCTTCCTAGCGGCCCCTCACATGCTGGCTGCCTGTTGGTGCCCAGTCCCCGCAGGAGGCGCTCAGGCAAGGTCTCCGGGCCAGGGATGCCGCGCAAACACACGCACGTCCATCCACAAGCGGACCCCTTTCCCGGCCACAAGTGGGGGGACCTGCGAATCCCGCCCGGCTTGCAAACCCAGCTGGCCCCGGTGCGCTTAGGCTCGCGCACGCGCACACACATGCACGGAGCGGGACCCTTCCCCGCCGCCCACGGAGGCTGGATTACGCATGCG